GGTTCTTCGGTTCCCTGACCCCGAGCGTCAGTTTGTTGTGGAGGTAGACGCGTCTGACACAGGATTTTGGGAGCTCTATGAAAATACCTTTATGCAAAAAAACTGCACAAAGAAATTTTGTTGACAAACTATGAATGACCAAAGGGTTAAGAAATGCTTGCAATAAAGAAAATTACTTGTATTCATGCTTCTTAAAATTAAAAACAAAAGAAGCAGAAGAGAGATACAAGAAATATAAAAACAATTCGGTGTAAGAAAGTATAAGCTGGAATATTACAGTGACTTATTAAACAAAAGTATGGGTGAAATGAAAGCAACATGGCAAGTAATGAATAGTGTTTTGAAAAATCATAAAGTGTTTCACAGTTCTTTGTAAAGAATGATTCAAATAGTAAATTAATTCAATCAATAGCTTAGTTAGCTCAAGTCTAGCAACTAAAATACTAAGTCCAAGTAAATCAAACTTTTGTGAAGCACATTCAACTCTGTACAGAACAAAGTACTCAATGTGAATATTTCATTGATTAAGATCGGGACTTAGCGTGCGTTGTTGAAGTGTTCCCTTTATGTTTTTGAGCAGTATATATTAACAAACACCATTATGTCATCTTAGCAAGATTTGAWWDAAGGTCAATGGAAAACACAAAGATAAACACAAGTGATATCTAAGAATGACTGTTGTTAGCAAATCTTGTTCTGACTTTAATCATTCTATCTGCAGATGAACAGCATGTCATGAAAACCTAGGTCATTAAAGTATGTCATGAATTTAACTTAAACATAAAAGTATTAGTTCCAGGACACACAGCTTTACACATAAGCTTATAAAGATCAATGTAGGCAGTGCCTGCAAATTAAATACACTTTATTTGATTCACATTAGTTTATAAAAAAAATGCTTAGGTCTAAGGCCTAGTTTGATCAATATCCTTGCTACTACAATTTTCCAAAATTTAAAATAAATTATTTGTAAGTACTCCTCTGCTGAATCATCACCTTATCATGATGGAGGAGTTTGTGCGCCTGAATGGTCCTAGGAGCTATGCTGTCAGGGGCAATTGAAATTGCCCCTGGTAGGGTCCATCATGACAGATTAGTCCTTGGTGACAGGCCAGACAAAGAACAATTCAACTGACTCCTATGGACACTAAAGATCAAGGAACTTGGTGTCCCTTGCCCGGATGTGGATTACTGGGGCCCCACCCTGGAGCCAGGCCTGTGGGAGGGGCTTGTCGGCCAGGTCTCTACCCGTGGGTCCTGGCCAGGCTCAGCCCAAATGAGCTACATGGGTTTGCCTTCTTGTGGGCCCACCACCTGCAGGAGGGGCCATACGAGTCGGGTGCATGATGCCATGAGCAGTAGCCAAAGGCYGGGACCTTGATGCTCTGACCCTGGCCTTTCAAAGCTGGCTTTTGGAACATGGAACTTGACCTCTCTGGTGGGGAAGGAGTCTAAGTTTGTGCGTGAGGTTGAGAGGTACCGGCTAGATATAGTTGGGCTCACCTCAACACACAGCATGGGCTGCAGAACCAATCTCCTCGAGAGGGGCTGGACTATTCTACTCTGGAGTTGCCCATCATGAGAGGCGCCAAGCTGGTGTGGGTCTACTTTTGGCCCTCCGACTTGGTGCCTGTGTGTTGGAGTTTACCACAGTGGATAAGAGGGTAGCTTCCCTGCGCCTTCAGGTGGGGGGACGGACTCTGACTATCATTTGTGCTTACGCACCAAATGATTGTACAGAGTACCCAGCCTTCTTGGAGTCCTTAGAGGGGGTGCTGGAAGGTGCTGCAGCTGGGGATTCCTTTATTCTGCTGGGGGACTTCAGTGCCCATGTAGGTAATGGCAGTGTGACTGGGAGAGGTGTGATTAGGAGGAACGGCCTCTCTGAACCCAAGCGGTGTTCTGTTGAAAAATAAGTTGGAGAGCCCTGCTCTATCTCATCTCCCTCAGAAAACAAACAAGATAGAGAATCTGGTTTGACATTACAAGATCCTGGGTGATAGGTAATAGAAAATTGAAATTTGATGAAAAACAATAGCTGCAAATAAGCTAGATTTTTGTGGTCTGTCCATACAACAAAAGGATGATTGGCTCCCTCAAGCCAATGCCTCCATTTCTCCAGGRCATTTCAGTGTCTAGTAACTCTGTTACAAACATCATAGTATTGTTCAGCTGGGCTTAGTTCCCGAGAAGAAAAAGGTACAAGGGTGAATCTTACCATCTGTGCTGGCCTTTTAAGATAACACAGTGCCCACACAAAATCTGAAGCATCCACCTCCAGGATAAACTGCCTTTCTGGGTCTGGGTGCACAAGAACAGGAGCAGAAATAAAAGGTCTGTTCAGTTCCTGAAAGGCAAGGTCAGTTTCAGGGTTCCAAACAAAAGGTTGATGTAAAGAAATTAGTCTGGTAAGGGGAGCTGCAGTCTATAGTTAGGAATGAACCTTCTTTTAAAAAGAAACAACCTTTAATAAGGTTGTTTCACTTTATTAAGGTTTAATAAGGTGTAATAATCCTCCTGAACAGTTGGTGGCAGTGTTTAACAGTTTGAAACATCACCAAGCTCTATGACTGAAGAAGAGTAATGACAAGGAAGTGATGGTTTTCCTTGTACAGTATACAGAACCTATGCCTGTAATCTGACTTATGGTGTCAACTTTTGGACTTATGGTGACAAATGTTTTTTTTTTTTTTTGTCACCATAACACAGTGTCGTTTTATGCTGTGAAGGCTGCATGATGCTCTGTGTTTGGTTCTGAGTAGACCTATCACTAAATCAGAAAAAGTGAAACACCCCTCTAAATTCACTAAATTCATTGGGTAAAATTTATAATGTTAGTTTTAAACATGCAGTTGAGGGTCATCATTATTTGGCACAATGACATGTTACAATTAAAAATAAATCAATAAACAATATAAAAGTAAAAAGCACCCCTAAAGTCACTGGGTATGATAAATTGTGTCACATTAATTAACCTTATCTCAGCAGTAGCAGTGAGTTTAAAAACAGGATGATGGAACTAGTTTAATGAAGAATCTGTCTCTGAAATATTTAAATCAAGTGTTAATTTAAGTAGGAAAAAGTATGTTTAACAACCTGGTAAAATACATCAGAACGCAGGAAAGGGCATCTATTTTGTTCAAACTTTTCTGGGGGAGGACCCTCAGACCCCCCAACAGTGTGTCCCCCCACCTTTAAAATGGTTCTGACGCCCATGTTTATAAGATAGTCCCTGCCTGTATAAGGACACAAGGAAATGATCAAAACACAAACGTCTGCAGAAACTTTCAAGTAAACAAGAAAATCATGTAATTTTCCTGGCCACCATGTGTGAGTAGTGGTCCCAGTCTGGCCACCCCTGAGAAAAATGTCTGGCTCCACCACAGACCATATACCCTAAAATTAACCTCACAGGTACCTGACCCTAAAACTAACCTAAACCTTGGTCCTAAGCCTAACCCCACACCCGTACTGTGCATTTGGACCCGCAGGGACCTGGCATTGGTCTCCACGATGCACTTCAGTCCCCACGAGGCTGCTTTTTTGGGAAAATTTCCCCCACGTTGTAGGAAAAACCCGTCCACACACAAAGTTTTCACCACGTGCTCAGCTTGATGGCACAAAAATTACTCCTCACAACTGAGTTTTGATGTGGTCAAGAAGAGAATTAAGTTGTTTGCTCTGTGTAATCCATGCGATGGTAAAGTTCAACATGTGCCATTAGGTCTTTGAGTATCCACTGAGGGGATTGTGAGTTTTTAACATATACTGTATATGTGATGCCAGTGTGTGCATGTATGTTTGCCTGTGCTGGGGAACAGGATTTCTCTAGAAAAAGATAATGCTCTCGTTGGAGGCATTATGTATCCATTTAGCTTTTAGCTTAGATTAACACACAGAGCATCCAAGCCACCGTGAGTGTGTGTGTGTATGTGTGTGTGTGTTTAGTTGTCTCTGTGTTCTGACTGGCTAAATTGAGGCTAGTGTCAGAAAAAAATAGAATGAGAGAATAATGTAACCTCGATTTCAACCTATAATCAGTCAGGTGCTTTTAGCTCCACATTGCAGGATAAACATGCTGCTGTCTGTCCTCATCGCTCAGTTATTTTAACCTTGGACACACTGTTGGTCCTACTATGCATCATTCTCATTTAGCTCTTGGTTGCTTTTGTCTTTTCATTTTTAAATTTCAGATTTATATTGGATGTCAGTCACAGTTACTGTACCTTGGTGAAAACCAGTGACTGTTCTTGGCAAAGCTTGCTTTTCTTTATTGCTAAATGTTCAATTCAATTATCTGCACTTTATAAACCAACAAACTGTTTCTCAAAACATTTATTCAGTGTTTTAATTCTGTTTATTTATATAGCACCAATACACAACAAGAGTTTTCTTAACAATAACAACAAAAAACAAGTCATATTTCAGTTCAAAACAGATCCAGATTAAAATCTAATTCCAGGCAAATGTACTGAACAGCTTTGTATTATAATTGAATTCAATTCTAAAACAAAGCTGTTCAGTACATTAAGAAATGCCAATTAGTAAAAGTGCTGTTTTTCTAAAACAACCAGCAGCTTATGTCAGATTTTTCTACAGTCACTCACAGTCCTCCACGTTGCACGATGGTGAAAAAATTACAAGAAATCTCCACCAGAACTGAAACCAGACCCAGGACGGGCAGACAACTGCCTCCATAAGCTGGGCTTAGAGAGGATYGAAAAGAGACAAACACAAAATGACTGGTTCAGGTGGAGTTTCTACAGGCAGATAACCGTTATTTTCAGAATTACAACAKCAAACATGTAGAGGAGAGTGACTAAAGACAGCAGCAGAGTGAGGACGTGGTCAGTTCTTCCTCCAGCAGTTGAAGCCTAAGTTGTAAAACTTAGTTACATAGTAGATTTGTGTCAAACTAAAATTATACGAAAACACAAGAATTCTTTAGAATCTATGAATAAATAAGTCAATAATCATAAAGAAACCCATTTTTCTTTTAGTGTGTGCCAGTTCCAGGTCGGGGCTTTCGATTGGGTCAGTACTGCTGCCGCTGTAAGGAGGGATACTACAACCCTGACATTTCCCCCGAGGACTCCGGTAAGTCAGCAAACATCAGCCAACATCAGCCACTGTGACAACAAAGATTTTAGTTCTGCTCACAGACTTGGTTAATGTCATTGAAGAGTGACATCAAGACTAAAAATATGCTAATTTTTAAGATAAAAGCTATTTTATCACGTTATAGTGAATTTATCTTTATTAGCAACCAAGATAGGTGCAACACTCAAAAATGGCAAAAAAATATCCATCTAACCATTCAGCGAAAATTTTGAGTTGCTTTTGTTTATTTCTTTTTTTTGTGTGAAATTTCTTTTAGGTTTTTAGCGCAGTTAAGTTTGCAATAGTGCACGTACTGTATACTAGAATAAATCAGTGTACCTTATATTATTCTTATTTACTTACCAAAAAACACTGAATCCTTCAAGAACCACATGTGTCAAACACAAGGCCTGTGGGCCACATTTGACCCGCGGGTGACTCCCGTGTGGCCCGCCAAATTTGTTCCTTATATCAATGGTTAACTTTAAATTTACGGTTTAACACAACAAAATTAATTTAATAAAAATGAATGAAATAAAAATAAATTAAAAARATTCCTGTCCCTGAGCTGTTGGCTTGAAGTAACTGAGCAGTTTAGTTGGATAGCACAGTACTAATGTCTGAAAATAAGCTGCTTTAAAGTCAAACATAAAGTAAATCTGACATAATGCAGCAACTCACTAGAAACTCATCAGTGAGTAAAACTTTATTTGTTTTACTTTTAATAATATTTCTGTATTTATTACAGATTTAGTCAGTCATACGCTTAGTTCTTATCAGTGTTTAAAAGAGGACGTGTTAAAATTCTGTTTAGTCAAAGTTAAACATGAAACATCAAAGTTCATTACAACTGGCCCTTCGAGGGCCATCATAATGCTCATGTGGCCCTCAGTGAAAATAAGTTTGACACCCCTGCTCTAGAACACAGAAGTACCCTTCATCTGAAGTGTCATGTTAGACATAATATAAAACATTTATTCATAATTTTATTGTCACATATTAAAACCAAACTGCAGTTTAAAAAAAACAATCCATAACTCTTAAATTTTTATTATTTTATGTGAAGTGTGGCACACGTTTATAGAGTATTTAGCTTCTGAGCTAAAATCCAAAACAACCACTTGAATTATTAGTAAATGAGTTAAGATGTAAATAAAGTAGCCATGGCTAATTTAATTTCTTTATAATCCAGCTACTATGTGAAGGTATCAAATGTTTGTTAACCGTATCTAAACTTTTGAACAGCAACAACAAGGTTTTAGCTGTTTTTAGCAGGTGTTGTTTTTGCTGACTGAGGCAGCATGCACCAGACAACTGGAGATCTCCCAGACTAAACTTCAACTCCATCTTTTTACTAACACTTCAAGGTCACGCCCGATAGTACACTCTTTTCTCTCTCCCTTAGTTACTAACACGGGCACGCCTCTAATAGAGTGTCCATCTTCGTTCAAGCAAAGAGGAGCTGTGTTTTTTCCTCCTCAGGAAAAACCAGCATTCAGGTGAAAAGACCTTTGCCCATTTGCCAAAGGGCCGGTCTTACCCAGGTTCATGACACTACCAGTCGTGAATCCCATTACCAGCAAACTCCCAGGAAGTTTTGTCCCAGAACTTCTGTGAGACTCTTTTATTTTTGATCCGAGGAACCTGTCGGTTCACCGGTCCACACACGAGCCAGAGACCACAAGATGTTAAGATCAAACTCTTGAAGTCAAAACGCCTGGACAGCTTAATGTTTTTGAGCGAACCTTTTGTTGACTGGGTGAGACTCCTCCACGCCTAAACCTGACTTTGAAGTCTACAAAGGTAACGGCTGACCATTTGATTAAAGGGCATCTGTGTCCGGCTGTGTTGAACGAGACTTGAAAACCTTCTGGCTCCTCACCTTGATAAGTTAAGACTTAATTCCCTTCCTTAACAAACCTTTTCTTTCCTAGTTCTTAAACCTTCTCCCCAGACCCTGCCAAAAACTTTTAAAACAGTGCCTCAACAATGGTATATTTCATATATCTTAAACCAAAACGTTGTTGTTCCTGATAAAGTTGTCAAAATAATGATAATTAATGCACTCGCGAGTTAAATGTTATTGATTTCAACTTTTGTAAAAATCTGATCATCCCTCAATGAGCCAGTACATAAGTGATTGTTTTTGTAAATAAARATCATTTATTTTAGATAAAACTTTACTGACTGTCACTCATTGGTTTATTTCCTGATAATTACAGAGAAAAAGTTATTAATATCTATAATAAAGAACTCTTAATTCCTCATAACTTAGTTATGAGTAGGTTTATAAATCTCCACAACACTAACAGATATTTGGGTCCCCTAATCCTAAAGCACTTGTGGAATTAGCAGTGATCTGAGTCCTTCTGAATATGTCTAATATTAATTATTAGAAATATACAGTTACTGTTTAGAATTTAATTCTAACATAGAAACATCTTTTGGAGGAGATCAAATCTGCTGAATTCACCTACAGACTCAGATCTAAATTATGCTAATATCTTTACTAGATCATTACTTAGCCATAATAATTAGACATTGTAGGATTTAATGCACTCACGACTTGGTGGGTAGAGATATTTAGAAATGATATTTAACTCTTATCAGAGGCATAGACTTACAAAGATCTTGAAAGGTCAAAAATGATCCGTTCTCTTGGATATACAGTATATCACTTTCATCTTACACTGTTGTCACCTCCACATACTCCCGCCGAGCGTGCTTAAGAGCGACCGGGAGAAGGAGGGGGATACTCCCGTACCCATGGAGGACCTCAGAACCTGTGTGCTGTTATCTTCAACAAGACCAGCAAGTTTAAACAGAAGAACAGACTTACCAAGGATGTTTAAAAAGACGCCAGGTGGAGTGAGGTTTTTATGCTTTAATAATAAAAAGAAAAAGAAAAATCTAACAGTACAGACATAGATCCGTCACACAGGGTTATTTGGTCAGAAAAGCCCCAAGTCGTTCTGCCTCATTGGGTGTGTCAGTGATTTTTATAACCTTCTGATAAATGCATATTCATTTAAACAAACATTCATACTCCTCCTCTTCTCTTTGTCTGAGGAGAAGAGTTTCATGTTTCAACTGGTTACATCAGATCTCTCAGTGCGGGAAAAAGACATTACATCAGTGATGTGGGCACAGAGAGGGAGTGATGTGGGCAGGGAGAGAGAGTTTGCAGCTGCGTGACCTTTAACCCTGTGATCTAGTTCGAAGCAGGTTTAGTGCCAGACACTGCTTGGTCCTTTGTTCAGTCTCTGCAAGTTCGATCTGATGTTTAATTCTGCTCAAAATTTTGCAAAAATCCAACTGTCTCAACAGCACTAACACACTGAAAGTTTTAGCAAAAGCTAATTATAAAGCACTAACAACCCAGTCAACCTATGAACATTCTTCAACAGACAACATGACTCACATGTTGTCATGTTGCTCTCTTAAGACTCATCATTGACATTGTACAGCTGTCTTTTGGTTCATATAAATGTCACCTGGTGGATCAGTGACACACACATGAACACAATGTGTGACAGCTTTCACCACCAGCTGTTAACATTTAACATTGATCAATAACATTTATAGACCTCAGTTAGTGCTTCTAAATTATGCCTATAAATTTAGCAAGTGCTAATCCACTAATAATTTTTTTAATTAGCAAAAGCCCTAAAGCACTAATCAGGAAATTAGTTCCCCTATTAGTGCTTTAGGGGAACTGTGCCCACCACTGAAAAATAAACGTCAAGGTTTTCTGATTTGTATTCGTAAAAATATTAAACCATGTATCATTTTCATTCCATTTCAGAATTTGACATTATTTTGTGTTGGAATGTCACATGACATCCCTGGAAAATACTTTGATGTTATAAGGATTGTTCTTGAAAATGTTCAAAGGATTTTAATACTTTTTCAAGCACTGAATGTACAACTTTACTCCAGAGCAAAAATGTCTGTGAATGCACAAAATGTTATGCATTTGACCTTTAATCTCACCCACCTGTAATAAAACTGTAATAATTAATAAAAAAACAAAAAGATGTGTTTAGGAGACCTTGTTTGACATGTCTTCAGTGCTACAGACTGATCATCCCATTAATCACGTAGGTGATGTAAATGTATGAATCTGTGTTTACTGCAGATGCTGGCCCTCTGAACGGCAGTGACAGCAGTGGTGTGTGTTACCCGAACATGCCCATCTGTCTCCCATGCTGGCCAGGTTGTAAGAGCTGCCAGGACAGCACCCCTTGCTGGGTGCAGGAGGACAGGACACTCAGGGCCGGAGTGCTAGCCCTGCAGGGGGTCTTTATGTTCCTCATCTTTGTCAGCATGCTTGTAGCCTACCAGCATCGTCGAAACCGGGTGAGTCACATCTTTTGGCTCAGATGGAGTTGTAATCTGCAACAAATGCTGACCCATTTGAAGCAGAAACATCTTTTTTATCGCTTTAGATTTGTAGAATGATATTAACATTTTGAGTAAAATCATAATATTAATAACAAAGGTCACAAATAAAAGATCTGTCTAAACACTGAAATTTTGCTCTGTCTCTTTAAGAACCTCCTACCGTTTCAAACACTCCCACTTTAGCACATTTTCAAACTATATTTTTGGGGGAGGGGTGCTCTGTGGGGCAGGAGCTTGGCTTCAAACTGAGTTCTGGGGAGGAGCTAGTTACAAATAGGCGGAGCTTTGTACCAGCAAATGTTGAGGCAGCTCCACATGAGATCCACAGGAGATTCAAGGATTTCTCAAACTTGCATGAATGAGTCAAGGCAACACTCTGTGTATGTTTTTGATGAGGAAATTGTCATGGTTTGTCATTTTCACCTTGGTTTTCCTAGTGTTTCTATGTTCCCCTGTGTGTCTCAGCCCAGCTGCCTCACATTAGCCTGATTGTCACCCTCGTGTTTCTCACCAGGTGTTTTCTGTTCATTCATTAGTTTTCAGTGTATTTAAGTCCTGTCCTMTCTCAGTCTTGTGTCGGTTCATTGTGCTGCTTCCCCTCAGCCTGTGTGCTGTTCTGTTCTGTCCCTCCTGAGAAGTATTGTCTGTAATTTTTTTACTGTCTTCAGCCCTCTTTTTGTTATCATAATAAACCTTTTGTTGCATCTTTGATTTTTGCCTGCGCCCTGGGTCTGTACCTGCTAAAACCTCACATAATGAACCGACCAAGTACCCAGCCTGCAGGCAAGACTTTTTTTCTAATGGACATGTCTGAGATTTTTCTGCAGTGCAGGAAAAATCTGGCTGAGACTGCTGCCCTTCTCTCTGGGACCTCTCCTCCAAGAGAAGCGGCTCTCGGTGGTTTTTTTCACCCACCCTCGCACCCCTGTCTTTTTTCTGGGGTTCCTGTGCCTGACCTGGCTGTTTCTGCTGCTGGGTTCACTGCTGTGTCCACTGATGAGACCACTCCTGAGTCCATTCCTGTGTCCCCTGAGTCAATGGTCCCAYTTCCCGAGTTGGTGGTCTCGGTGGATCTGCAGTCGATGGTCTCAGTGGATCTGCAGTCGCTGGTCTCGGTAACTCCACAGCCGGTGGTCCCAGAGTCTGCGGTTCCAGTGGTGGTCCTGGAGTTGATGGTTCCACAGTCTGTGGTTCCGGTGGTGGTTCTGGAGTCGGTGGTCTCAGAGTCTGCAATTCCGGTGGTGGTTTCAGAGTCGGCGATCCTTGAGGTTCGTAGGTCGGCTGCCGGCCCCTCCATGTCATCTGGGTTGGTTGCCGTTGCCTCCACGTCGCCTGGGTCGGCTGCCGTCGCCTCCATGTCACCTGGGTCGGCTGCCGTCGCCTCCATGTCGCCTGGGTCYGCTGCCGTCGCCTCCATGTCGCCAGGGTTGGCTGCCGTCGCCTCCATGTCGCCTGGGTCAGCTGCCGTCGCCTGGGTCAGCTGCCGTCACCTGGGTCGGCTGCCGTCGCCTCCATGTCGCCTGGGTCGGCTGCCGTCGCCAGGGCCGGCTGCCTTCGCCTCTTCGTCCCCTCTGTCGCCTGTGTTCGCCATCGCCAAGGCTCCTGCTCCATCAACCTCCGACGGCTCCTCATCATCTCCTGCCTCCTCCCTTGGCTCTACGTCTGCTCCTGACTCCTCCCTTGGCTCCACGTCTGTTCCTGCCTCCTCCCTTGGCTCCACGTCTGTTCCTGTCTCCTCCCTTGGCTCCATCTCTGCTCGTACCTCCTCCCTTGGTTCCGCATCTGCTCCTGCTTCCTCCTGTGGCTCCGCGTCTGCTCCTGCCTCCTCCCTTGGCTCCGCGTCTGCTCCTGCCTCTTCCTGTGGCTCTGCGTCTGCTCCTGCAAGGTCTCGCCATGGGTGGTTTCCTGGCCACTTTTCTGTCCTCTTGCCTCGTTGGCATGGTTTTCCTGGTCATCCCCCCGGACTCTTGCCCTGTGTGGGATGGTTTTTCTGACCGTTCGCATGGACTTCCGTGTTATGTCCTTGAGTTTGTTTTGTCCTGTCTCCCCTTGTTCCATGCCTCTCCTTGTTGATCGTCGGGAGACGATCGTTAAGGGGGAGGTACTGTCATGGTTTGTCATTTTTCACCTTGGTTTTCCTAGTGTTTCTATATTCCCCTGTGTGTCTCAGCCCAGCTGCCCCACATTAGCCTGATTGTCACCCTCACGTTTCTCACCAGGTGTTTTCTATTCATTCATTAGTTTTCAGTGTATTTAAGTCCTGTCCTGTCTCAGTCTTGTGTCGGTTCATTGTGCTGCTTCCCCTCAGCCATAAACCTTTTTTTGTACCTTTGATTTTTGCCTGCGCCCTGGGTCTGTACCTGCTAAAACCTCACAGAAATAACTTAAAAACYTGATATAGAGCTAAAAAACACAAAAGTTGATTTTGCTTGATAGCCCCCTTTAAAGTTTTTCCCTCTTCTTTCTCCTTCCTCAGAGGATCCGGGCATCTGGTCTCCTGCTGCTGGAGATCATCCTGTTCGGCTCTCTGCTCCTCTACTTTCCGGTAAGTCTCCAAACGAGTATTGCAGATTAGAGTTTTTTCCAGATGACTACACGGCACAGCATCAAGGATTATTTCATGATGGACAATCTGCATGAGGGTGTGAATGTGAATTTAATGAGGTGGCTGGGTACATAGTTGACGTTCCATAACATGCCTCTGCTCCAGTCATAGATTACCAGTCAATCTTTAGAATTGTTTGACCCACTAAAGAGCTGTTAGCGTAACAACTGCTGTGCTTTTTTATCAGATGATAGAAGTGTTTCTGCAGACTGAAGCACTGGGAATGATTTCAMGTAAAAAGTGTGCATCGACATGTTAATGGTTTGGCAGCTGCTCTTCTGAACTACATACTGTAATTTCTAAAAATAACAAGTGATCATCACTTAGTACTTGACTAAATTGTAAAAGGTTAACTGTGTGTTTAACCTTTTAGTCAGGTAAATGGTACTGAATGGTAAATGGTACTGAACTTATAGAGCGCTTTTCAAGTCCCTCCGGACCCCACAGCGCTTTACACTAACAGACATTCACCCATTCACACTCACATTCACACACTGATGATGGCAAACTACACTGTAGCCACAGCTGCCCAGGGGCACACTGACAGAGGTGGGGCTGCCATGCATCGGCGCCACCGGACCCTCTCACCACCATCAGTAGGCAAGGTGGGTGAAGTGTCTTGCCCAAGGTCACAACGACTGAGACGGCTGGACGGGGGATTGAACCAGTGACCTTCTGGTTCCAGGATGACTCCCCTAACCACTCCGCCACAGCTGCCCCTAGTAGTGATATTAAAATTGTCTAAAAATTTGTGGGCCAACTATAAACATACACCTGGCTGGCATAGCTGTGGCCAGAACAGAACTTTAGGAAATTTATTTTTTTGTCATATGCAGGTTATTTCACAAACAGAGAAAAATGAGAATTAGAGAATTATCTTCTGATGTAATTTATAAACTCACTAGTTTGGATGACTAGAGTGTGTTGTTTGTTATATTTATTTTAGATTTAATTGTAGATCGTAGCTGTTGAAAGAAACTGATCTCTCCAAACCCCACACTCTTTGTATAATGAATTAAAAGAAATTAACTGATTATTTTGAAACAGATGGTAAAGATGGCTGATTCCTTTTTGTTGCCATGATGGAAAACAGAGTGGTGTTACAAATCTTTAAGTCTGATTTGTGCCAGATTGGGGTGTATTTACAAGGTGCCAGTGAAGATTTTATGTTACTTTTCCACCAGGCCATCAAAGTTGTTTGAATTGTGATATTTTTACAGAAGTCCAGATGGATTGTTATAAAAAGAGAAGACATCCAAGTAAAATGTTTTACATTGATTCTGTTCTAAATTACTGAGCCTACGAGGGGACATGGTTCTTTTTTTCTTTTTGCGTTCCCGCGCAAAAATATTGCATTACCTCACAATACCTTTTGCATCCCCTTGCAAATTTGGTTTATCACTGTTGTGCCTGCTGGTTTATTAACAAACTCACGTTTACCTTCAGCGAGTTAGCCTACTGCTTTAATTCAGCTTCAGAATGAATATATCACACAGCCACGCATGGAAGCATGTCATTTGCTGATATTTTAACACAGTGCAGCCACACAACATCAATYTCAGTTTGACGAACTTGTGGCGACACATCCTGTTATGGTAACCGAATATTTCAAAATAAAAGTCTGATTTAATTCAGTTCATATACAAATCAAACTTTTGCGTGGGAACGCAAAACAATATTGCGAGGTAATGCAAAAGTATTGCGAGGGAACGCAATACTATTGCGTGGGAACGCAAAAGGAAAAAAATCTCCCATGTCCCCTCGCGTGCTTCGTACTAAACGGAGCCGTTGATCAGTGGCATGCACAGACATTTTGGAGGGCAGGTGCTCAAGTGGAAAAAGAGGGCACGTTGTGCGGTGCACAGAATCACAGGCTTCCTACTACTGCTAACTTTTAAACCAGTTGGCACAAGGAGTTGTCGGAATCACTAAAAACAAGTAATTTATCTGAGGCAGGGTTTTAATTGTAGTGTTTGATTCAATAAGCAATACAGAGCATGGTCAGTGCAGTGAGGTGTGATGTTGTACCCGAGGAAAGTCTGGATTCTCTTCAGTGTTGAGAAGCTCCTCTTAGATTCAGCTGTGGTCAGAGGAGATGTGATGAGAATCTTTAGATTCATCTGATTCCTTCATGCACAACATCTGTTTTATCTCCATCCATGAGTTTTTGACCATTTGACTATCTTTATAATTATGGTATTATGGTAGCCCTTAACAGTCGGCTTCTGAGAGTGAGTCGTTGTTCCAATCCAAGCGCTTTCATCATGAACAAACATGAGACCAATCACACAATAAGTTCTTATGTGGAGTGGGGTAAAAAGTTCTGCTGGCGGGTTGTGACAACAGGGGCAGCCGAGTCAATGCTGAGAACATGGATGACGTAATTTTCATCATGAAACTGTGACAATCTGAGCTAGATTTTGGTAGTTCAGAGGGAGTGTGAAGTAGGCTTAAGGCTCGTTATTGTTGCGCTTTAAGACACGCGCAGGGCGCATGCACCCTTGCCATCGTTGGAGGTGTTTATACTTTGTGCTTACATTGTAGATTTCACCAAAAGGACACGTGAAAGTACACTTTATAACTTGTGAAATGCTATAAATAGGAGAGCAAAAGTGTGATGAACAAACAAGCTTTTTAAATGGTGCGCGGCCGTTGCAGAGTTTAAATTTTTTTTGAGGTACACAYCCACYTGCCAGGACACCGCARGAGGCCAARGCACAGGGGCAGGGACGATGCGARTGCYTCACTTTTGGCGRGCGCCCCCTCACACCTGACATGACACGTCAACTATAAACCAGGCTTTAAGCTTTRGTYGTCTTCAMTGCTGCTTCAGAGAATTGGCTGTGGWCCTGCAGGAACCTGTCTGCCTGCAGCAGTGTAGCTCTGATCAGATGCTTTGTGAATGGGTCAAGATGATGTCACAAACCTAAAACAATAAATGCACAAATTTTATTCAATATGAAGATGGCTACAAGTGAACTTTGTAATATAAATTTAAAGGGGCAATATTATGTGTTTCTCAGGCATATATTTAAATTCTATACCATAATAAAGTAACTATGTCACCTTTAGTTG